ACTATCGGGACCCGTACCGAAGACAGTCAGTATGCGATCGTGTAATAGTATAGGGGTACTAGGGGGTTTTAGAGCCTCTTATCTAGGCAATAGATCTTAGGGATCTTTGTATAGTATATTAGGAGAAAAAACGTTATAGATCTTAGAACTAGGTGGTAATTAGAGGCGATACGCGTTTCCCACTTTTTCTAATACCTTAAAGGGACCTTCCTATTGTTTAGATAGTTTTTGGCTAGGTTGTAAAATAGCAAGATTAGCAGTAGATAGATAAATATAGTTACTAACCTTCTAGTTAACTAGACGTTAATAGCAATTAGTAGCAGAGCGTATTTAGTCTTAAGCTCTTTCTATATTTTCTTTAGCAATCTTCTAGGCGTTATGCATCTAAGTAGTAAGGGATAAGGCGTCCTTATAGTTTAGTTTCTCTAGTATAGTAGATAGGGTCTTTTCTAGTTTCTAATTCTAACTTTGCTTTAGTAAGGAACTAAAGAGGAGCTAATATAGAGCTATGCTAATAGATAAATATAGAAGAGTACTTTAGGCACAGTCTATTATAGGTAGTAGGTCGCTCTAGTTATCTTAGTAATAGGATATAAAAGGCCTTAGTCTCTAATTAATATACTTATTTATAATCTTAGTTTGTCTATTAGTTTATTTATAGTAGGTAGTAGAGAGCTTAACCTTAGTGCCTATAATCTAACAGAACTTAGACTAGAAACTAGATATAAACTAAGGGCCTTAATTAGAAATAATAGTATCTAGAGTATGTCTAAATTAGTACACCTACTAAATAAATAAGGTAGCTATACCTTAGGTGTCTATAGTTTTGTAGCAAGGGATAGTAATAGCTTGCTTTAATAGGCGATTAATAATAACTATAATCTAATTGTAACCACGTTAATCCTAGGGAAAATCCTTAAAATTAATGCATAGGTGTTGTATTAGTAGACTAGGGATTAGAAGGGGGTAGAGTATACTAGGGAGTTAGTACTATCTTAGGTGCCCTCTCCTGCATAGGATATAGTTTTAAACATAGCGTTTACAGGTAGCCTCTATACCTTTCTAGTAGTAATATTAGGCTAGAATCTAATAGGTTTTAGTAGCTAATAGGTAGGTAGTAGACACTTAATTATAAGCCTTACAAATTAGTCTAGTATATAGGACTAATCTAGCAGGCACGCAAAGTTAATCCTAGTAGAGAAGGAGTCTATTTTCTATCTAATA